TATATGGACATTATATAAAACAATTTCTTACGCTGCAATATATATGTAGTTATTGTGATCCATAACTTCTTGTCCGGTATAGTTAGCTAAGAACATGTACAAAAGAATGACCGACACAATCAAAAGATGAAATACCAATTCCTCTTTGTTTCCGAGCGACACACACTGAAAAATCTGAAATATCGTGATTATGATCAAAGTTCTAGTTATATTTAATATGATTATTTATTTTATATGCAAAAATAGGTTATTATAAAATCACAAATAAATAATACAAAAAATAATATCCATAATTTTTTCTCTTTTCTTAAAAATTTTGATTGATTAAAAATAAATTAACACTTGTTTTCAATTACTTTTGTAATTATTGATTATATTATTTTTTATCTGCAAAGTATTCTTTATCTTTATTTTTAAATAAATCTTATTCTTTATCTTTAAATATTATAAGATAATTTACAGAAGTCATTGAATAATATGTTTAAAAATGTGAGAGAAAACTCACTGCAAAAAGATTGAGACTCAAAGAAATTACATTAATCGCTATTAAGAAGAAGAAGGATCCCTTAAAGCTGGATAATAAAAATTGAGAATACCTTAAAAAAGTAAAATATTATGACAAATACTTATGTAAATAATATCATATATGAACACCAACTTTAAAGCTTTGCGTTGAATGTCGACGGCACAAATTATTTCCTTGTAAATTATAATCTCGTTTTTTGTACTGATATTTTCGAGCATTTTTATTGTCATCGCTTGCTCGATACGATAACTATAAATTAATTTTAGACTATAAATACATAGTTCTCCGTAATTTGTTTGCGCGGAAACATTTGATGCAAAACAAGTCTTATTTTCAACTATATAACTTTTGTATTTTTTCGTAGATTTGTTTTTTACCTGGCAATTTTAAACAATCCGCAAGCGAGTATGAGATATCCTCTGAGTAATGTCCCTGTTGCTGTCGCTGTGGTTGCTCCTATACATATGACTGCATTTGAATGCAACAAAATTATGTAGAAATATTTTTCTTGATCGATAAAATATTCAGTCATGAAATGCAGTATTAGACGTGGCTGAGATCCATTTATATGCAAAGCAATATCAAGAACTGGCGTCAAAATTGGCAATAAAATAACGACAAATAAACAGAACATGCTGAACACTAAGAGCATTTGAAAAAAATTATTATATAAATTTTGTTTTTTTTAATGTTTTGAAATATTATAAGTAATATATTTCAAATTTCTGTGCTGTATAATTTTTTTCAGTATGATATTTTATGCAAATAATGACTGCAAAAAATTCTTACGTTTTAAACGTACTATTTAAAATGAAAAGTGTATACTTATATTCCGTATAGTAAAAATATTTTTTGATTTTTTAAAATTATTTTTAAATTATATCTTTACATTTTAGAAATATGTCGATTATATTTAGTGTAAGTATAAAAAATAATAATGTTTAGATAGTCATGTTTATTTGGTCGTTTAATATTTCTTATAATTAATTTACTTAGCTTTATATTAACATGTGTTATCTTACATATAATTACAACTGTATAACGTTTCACGCTGTTTCCATACTCTTTCATAATATTGATTTCGTTCTCGTCTTTCAATTCATTACAAATTTGCTGTAGTTGCTCCGTTAAACGCTTTACCTATTATAATATTTAACGTGTTTCTTATTGAAAAACTTGGCAAAGATTATTATATGTAAAAATTTATTTATTAAGTATATTTTTTTGAATGCGCAACAAGCTTACATTATGCGTATTCATCCAAAATGCGTTATAATTTATAATGTACGTACTGCAAAACATCACGTTAGAGAAAACTTTTATTATAAGATAAGGAGTACATTCTGCCGTCAAAAATGTTGTAAGCTACAATCAATAAATTTACTTAAGAGATCACAAAAGCTATTCTCCTATTCGATTAGTAAATTACAAGTTAAAAAGGATTAACTGCTTTGTAGTGGAAATGATATAATGAAACTTTTACAATTCTAATTCTAAAATAGCAGGTGCATCTCACGATGTGTTGTTAATATTAGTATTTGGAGTTGGATAAAAGTTGTGAGAAGATAAATAATTATTGTAATCAGTAACTTATGTAGTGACTTATAATGGTACAATTAACAATGCGGTATAATGTAATATGGTGTATAATTTGAAAAATATAAGATATAACATGGAACATACTTACTTGGAAAATAATACAACTTATCAGAATACTGAGACACAAAATTATCTGAAATCGAACAAGATTTGATTGATGATGAGGCCATAAGCCAATAGCAAGTAGAAGAACCCGATTGAGATAAAAGTATTCAGTCTCGATACAGATCATTACTCTAGGAGCATGCGTTGACTGTGAAAAAGTCAATGATGGTTTGTGCACACGCATATTTTTCTCCTTTTATTGAATACTTTATAACTTACTACTTTCTTATAAATTGCATCATAAATTATCTAATCTAGCATAAGCGTAGCAAAAGTTAGCGGAAAATATTACTCTGAAATTGGAACATTAGCAATTGAACAATTTTACTGGAGAAGGGGTCGGCGATTAAGCGATCAATATAATATGGGCAATTGAACGAATGTTCATTTCTCATAGAAATGTACTTGCGTATTCCCTGACAGAGGATGAGTCGCACAAGCATTTCGCAAATTTTCAGTAACGCAATAACATGTCTCTTTGTTGCATGATGCGTGCTCTCATAAGTTATATTAAACCATTTAGAGAAATGGTAATTGCTTAGTCTTACATATCGCACCTCAAGAAGAGTACTGTCACAACTCAAAAAATTTCGATTTTAAGTTAAGTATGCCACAAAAAGTATGCTTAAGGTGTTCCCTATACATGCTATAATAGTGTTACAAATCTATATGCAAAATTCGCTGCACGGGAGCAGAAGTGTCGTTATTCTTTACAAACCGATTAAGTTGCAATTACTGGATGAATAGTGTCATAAGTAAATTGACAAGTGAATCACAGTAGACGTCTTAAAAAAAACAGTACAAGTTTCATTATAACAAAATGTCGTAATTGCAATTGCGTTAGTTGTCTCACAATTCAAAAAAAGTTGAATTATTTGTTTTTCCTCTCTCCCGAAAATTGTGAATTTTTGAGTTTGAGTTGTGGTGCGATATATATATCGATATATCAATTATTAATATATTATTGCTAACTTACTGTAAACATACATCACTGTTTTAAACACTTTTATATTTTCTTAGAATTAAGAGTTCTTACAATTTTATCGAGATCGGTCAATCCAACTTTTTAGATTATAGTATGTAATTTGTTTTAGTGTGCTAATTAGTTTTTTACTATCATTATTCCACTACACTATATCAATTAATTTGCTTTACATCAATTCTGCGTCGAATGAAGAATTGTGAAATACGACACTGCCGTGCTTAGTAACTATAATAACACATAACTTTTTATTTTTATCTATCTATAAAATATATTTTACATTTAACACTATTTTGAAAGATATTCTTCTTACCGTAGCAGCACCTTCTAACGATCCCACAAATAGTCCAGCAATATTCATAGTGAACGCCTTGGTACCTCTTTGCAAGAGGAACAGGATCATTTTTTGTATTTGCAACGGAGTAACGTACCACTGGACATTGTATCTACATTATGACAAAATAATTAATGATTGAGAAATATAAAAGAAATCTATCAATAAATTTGACACACGTTAAGGCTTCTATACTGGCTTGATTGCCAAGTTTACCTTGACAGTACAAACAGCGTTACACCTTGCAAAATTGTGAACTGAAAAGCGTAAAGCTAAACTTTTCTTTCGACGTATGTACAACGTTATTTTTCGTTTTAATGTAGTGTTTTTATATTTAAAATAATTGTCGTAGTGTTAAGATATAGGTACCAAAGACTCCTATTTATAATTTAATATGTGAAAGCAAATATTTATTTTAATTTGGCAGCTATCGGCTAAGGATGGCTTGTTTTCGTCCTTAATTAAGCACAATTCAATTCGACATGTAGATTTCGCTAACAAAAGGGGAGTTTTTGATATATTCTATCGATTACAAACGCTATCTTATTGAAAAACATTTTTGTTTTAATATACGTCGTAAGAATTTTCATGATACATCTATTTTTCTCGCTTTTGATGTCATCAATTCAAGATGGTTGCAGTGAGTGAACAGAGGCCTTAACTGTTTTTTTTTATTACATTGATTGATATAAATGCGCATGTAATTATATTACATAAATATTATCCTTACACGGTGGCAAATACATCATTATTGTGATTCGTAATTTCCTGTGCGAGATAGTTTCCTACAAACATGTAACAAAAATGGATGATGACAAATATTAATCGTAACGAAAGTTCTTTAACATCACAGCTAAGGGATGCCACCTGAAAAATCTAAAGTACAAGTGCATCTTAATGATTGTCGTAAAACTAAATTAATAACGTTAAACAAAATAATAATGAATTAGAACTCTTGACTTGATGGAAATTTTATAATAATTAGTCTCGTTACTGTTATTAAATATATATTAAATATATTAAAAAGCGATATGTACCCGAAAAAAATTCAGACTCGCGCAAATCACTCCGACTACTATCAAAAGGAAGAACATTACTTTAAATCTAGATATTGTCGATTCGGAGAATCTTCAAAAGAAAGAAAACAGTTATTCTATACGCGATATTATCGATTATTTCAAATGTTGTATAATTACTGTTGTATGAATACCAACTTTATAGCTTTGCGATGCATATCCACGGCATAAACTAATCCCTTATAAATTAAATTCTCATTCTTCAAGCTGTTTTTTTGCAGAATTTCAATTGTTATTGCTTGTTTAACGCGATAACTGCAAGTGATTTATTTGCCATAACTATATGGTCTCTTCAAATTTACGATAGAGTTTTCTTATATTTGATTTTATATTTATATTTTTACCTGGCAATTCGAAACATTCCACATGCATACTGTATGTAAACTATGAACATTGTTCCTGTCGCTAACATTACACCAACCCCTATGGTAAAGGCCGTGTTTGCATGCAAGATAATCAAATAAAAATATTTTTCTTGATCGACAAAGTATTCTGTTACAAACAGTGGTGAAATATGTGGTCGAGTTTCATTCATAGGCAGTAAGATGTCAAAAATGCGCGGCCAAATTGGATATAATAATAAAGCAAATGCGAGCAATATAACGCACACTGAAAAATGTTTGAAAATCAATTCTTTCGAAATCCTAAGAATGTCCATTATAAAATCGCTGGTTAAGTCTCCAAATATAACAAACAATTCGCGTTTAACAGAAATCGAAAGCAGTTATCTTACATGTAAATATAGCCGTGTAACGTTTTGCATCGCTGGCGTACTCTTTCATGATGTTGATTTCATTCTTATCAGTTAGTTCGTTACGAATATGCTGCAGTTGCTCCAGCAAACACTTTATCTGTTATTTTAATAATATTGCATGCTCTTTTTTTCGATTATGTTGGAAAAATATTATTGTATTTATATTATATTAAAAATTTTATCTCTCGGAAATATTTATTCACATAGGTGAGATTTCATTGACGCTAGAAACCAGCGGCAGCATCAAGAAAATGTAGTGGGGGAAGAAGTTCAGACCGTCTCAGCTTTTGAGCGTACCGCAAAATTTAACGGAACTTCTTCCCCCACTACATGTTTTTGACGATGCCGCTGGTTTCTAGCGTCAATGAAATCGCACCTTAGTGAATATAATACATAATATACAGGATGTTAGTAGAGAAATTGCTGAAACTAAATGTATCAAGGTGTTTCACAACCGTATAATACTTTATTATTGTTTTCTAGAGGTAAAATATAGTAAAAAATTCTAATTCAAAAATTTTGAGGCTGCAATAGTTTTTGAGTTATAAGCGATGAAAGTTTGCCAATGATATTACGCAAAACTTGCTCGCTCAGTCCAGTAACTACACCTACACCTACACGCGTATTGATTTGTCATCTCATTGATTTTCTCAAGTCAGGTAATATTGATTTTTACTGCACACCTGATTTTATTTTGTCATTTTCTGTACGTGTGTATTACGGCTACCTTGCATACTATGGTGATATAGACTAATATTAACAAATTATAAATCTTATACGGAAAACATTTAATTCTAATAGATAATTTAATTAAATAATTAGTTTAATTAACTAATTGATTATTAGATATAAATAAATATTAATAATAATAGATGAAATTATTAATAACAATATTAATTAATATAAATATTAATAAAAAATTATGAACGAAAAAAACTTTATTTTATATTCGACAACGTTTGGCTAATGTCGTGATAATTCGACCATTGGTTTTGGTCAGATTAATCGTCAAGACTTTTTCGACCATGGATTTTGGTCTTTTTAATTGAAAATTTTTAATACAAAATTATAAATATTATTATTATTACTAGAAGAAGTGAAGTGAAGTGAAGTGTATACGTATACACATGTACATCTGCATACATAAGTGTGAAAATGAATATTTTTGTAATATAATGTATTTGATTTATTTTATTCTGTTTACTCAAAATTACATATATTTAATTTTAGCAATTTCCAATCGTCACCCTGTATGTTTTACTTACGACTTCAAAGTTAATACTAAATAAAATATATTTAATTACAAAAGTAATAAAAAATAATGCAGAAGAAAGAACATTGATAAGGAGATCCGGAGTACATTGTGAAGTCAGAAACGTTGTGAGCTGCAAAAAGATATTTTTTATTTACCAAAATTTCCATTAAAATTGCTATTTTCTTATGCAATTAGAAAGAGACCCTAAGTCATTAATTGATTGTTTTTCAATATGTAATAATTTAAATTAGAAATCTATTTAAATAATCAAAAAATATAAAATTATAAATTTAGTTTTTTTTCTGTAATACACATATGCGCGTGCGTGTGCGTATTATAATATTAATATTGATGTGTAATATATACAACATTGAGTTTGTGATATAATAGTTTTAATATGTAAAATTGCAAAGTCAATTGCTACAAATAATTTTTTTATTTTGTAATTAAAGTCTTATATCATGGAATTAAAACTATTTACGTACCTGAAATAAAATAAATGTTGCCAAAATACTAAGAAACAAAACTAACTGAAATTGAACGAGTTTAGATTGCTGATAAGGCCATAGACCAAATGTAAGTAGCAGAAACCGATTGAGACCAATATGTAAAGAGTTGATACAGATCATTTCTCCACGAGCATATACATGCATGTAACAGCGAAAGGATCGGTGCGTCTTTTTTCTTCTTTCGACTAGTCTGCAGCTGCGTATTCTCTTATTTATTTAGTTTAAATTTTAATGTAAATTGCCTAATTTAATGCGATGTAAAATGCAACAAAATGTTACCGTGAGATCGGAACACTCGCATTTTAGCAACGTCGGGACCTGGGAATAGGTCGACGATTAAGCGATCAATGTAATTTAAGGTAATTGAACGTTTATTTCTCAGAAAAGAAAAATATTTTTCTAAATGTATCTCCTGACAAAGAATTGCGCAGGCGTATTTTCAGTAGCGCGTTTTGTCGTGTCTCATTCGTTTCGTAGTGCGTAAACTCATAAGTTACATTTTGATTTTAGAGGAAACGATCAGTTATACATATCGATATATTGGCTAGTAATTTATTATTACTATTATTAAATACACTTTTTAAAGTACGTGTTGCTCTAAACGCCACTTATTTTAGATGTTTTCATATTTTTCCAACTTTTACATTCTCCTCCGTAATCTATCTTATGCATCTTGTTTATTACCTCTGCTTCGTTTGAGGTAATAGGCGATATTAGTTGCTTTCTATTTTATATCAAAACTCAGATAATTCTCACTTGTGACGTCATAACTCAGTTGAATGCACGTTCTTTTTGCATGCTGGCAAGTGAGATTCAACTGAGTTTTTATTCACTATCGAGACTTTGTTACCAAAATAAGCAGGTACATACAAAATGACATATTTTACCTGAGTATAAAATACTCACATAACTGAGTGACTCAGATCAATTGAGTGTAAATGGAAAGCAACTATTATCCGTATATAATTAATTTCATTACATGCTTTATAGTATATATTTAATTAATTAATTTTATGTCAATGTTGCGCAGAATGAAGGACAGTGAAATATGATAGCGCGGTACTCAGCAACTGTAATAAGATAGTTCTTCTTTTGTTTTTTCTGTTTAAAACGTGTTATGTTTAAAATATAAGCCAACATATTTTTACCGTAGCTGCACCTTCTAATGATCCCACAAACAATCCAGCAATATTCATAGTGAACGCCTTGGTACTTCTTTGCAACAGAAATAGAATTAACTTCTGCGTTTGTAACGGAGCCATATACCACTGGACCTTGTACCTGTATTATAACGAATTATTAAAGAAAGACGAAAAAAATAGAGAATCATTCTTGACATATGCATAGGTGCTTTTTAATTAAATGACAGTTTTTGTTATTTTAGTACATTGTAGTAGGATAAATATGTATGATATCATATCATTTGAATGTCTTCCTTACACGGTGATATATATATCATTATTGTGATCCATAATTTCCTGTGCAAGATAATTGGTTATCATCATGTACACCAATTGACTGATTAAAATTATTACGGGTAATGAAAGTTCCATAGCATTGTATCCAAACGATATCACCTGAAAAATCTAAAGTACAAGCGCATTTAAGATCTTGATAGAAACTAGTCAGTAATGTCAAACAAAATGATTAATTGGAGTAATTAGACTGTCAATGAAAATTTGTCAGCAACTAGTCCTATTACTGTTAATCATAAGTATTATGATGAAAAAAGGACCGTATTTACCCGAAAAAAATTGAGACTTGCGCTAATCACTCCGACTATTATCAACAAGGAGAACATTACTTTAAATCTCGATAATGTCAAGTTAGAGAACCTTCAAGAGAAAGTGAATATTACTCTACGCATATTCTAAACGCATTATCGATTATTACAAATATTGTACTGTTGTATGGATTATTACAAATAATTACTGTTGTATGGATACCAACTTCATAGCTCTGCGATGCATATCCACGGCACAAATTAATCCCTTGTAAACCAAATTCTCATTCTCCAAACTGTTCTTTTGTAAAGTTCTGAATGTCATTGCTCGTTCGATACGATAACTGTAAGTGATTCTTCTGCCAAAATTATATAATATTCCGATTTTCCAGGTTTTCTACACATCTGTCTTTATATTTATTCTCTTACCTGGCGATTCGAAACATTCCGCATGCATGTTGTTGATAAAATACCAACATTGTTCCTGTCGCTAACATTGCGACAGCGCCTATGGCAAATGCCGCGTTCGCATGGAATAATATCAAATAGAGGTATTTTTCTTGATCGACGAAATATTCGGTCATATACGGCAACGAAAGACGTGATCGAGTCTCGTTTGTGAAGAACAGGATATTGAAAATATGCGGCCAAAATAAATATAAAGTTAAAGAGAGCACCATGGTCACGACAAGCACTGAAGAATGTTTAAAAATAATTTTTCTTCATAAGTGAATGCATTATAGGCTCATTAATTAGCTTGCAAAGATAAGTTGTAACAAAAGCTATTGTCTTACATAAAAATGCAATTGTGTAACTTTTCGCATAATTACCGTACTTCTCTATGATATTGATTTCATTTTTATCAGTTAACTCATTATGCATATGCTGCAATTGCTCCAATAAATATTTTACCTTTTAACAAAATTCTATGTTACTTGTCTTTTGGTTATAATTGAAAAAGATTATATTTACATTGTATATTAAAATTTATATTTTGTAAATGTTTATTTGTATTTATATGTACATTAAATAATATATAATAATCATTTCACTTACGATTTTAGTATTAATACTAAACGAAATATATTTAATCGCAAACATAGTATGAAATAATGCAGAAGACAGAACGTTGACGAGTAAATCCGGAGTACATTTTAAAGTAAGAAATGCTGCAAACTGCAAGAAATCATTTTATATAACAAATTTCATTGAAATTATTACTTCTTTTATCCAATGGCAAAATTGTTACATGCAGATAATTGATTGCTTTTTAATAATAATTTAATATATCCAGTCCAAACAAAAATTAAATTTTACGTAATAAGAAATTAAAAATGTTTCGTGTTTTTTATTATAGTATGTATTATAATGGTGTGTCTTTGATGATTCTAACAGTAAAAGAAATTACAGTAAACACAAACATTGTAATAATAATACTACAAGCTTATTGGAGATTTTTTATATAGGTATCTATCTGTATAAATGCTCAAATTGCTACAAGTTAAAATTTAATAATTTCTTTGTTATCGAGCAATAATTAAAAATATAAACGTACCTGAGATAGAATAAAACTTGCCAAAATACCAAAAAATAAAGTTACTTGAAACCGAATCAATTTAGATTGTTGATAAGGCCACAGGCCAACTACGAGTAATAAAAACCGATTCAGACCGACATGCAGAGTGTCGATACAGATCATTTCTTCATGAGCATTGATATAGAATTGATAAAAAAGTTCACGTGTTCTTTTCTCTTTTGCCGATTAAATATCTTATATCTTTGTGTCTTTTTTATTTGAATTTCAAACCACATTGGCGAATTTAATTAAATAAATTGCAGAAATAACGCAATACCATACGTGAGAGATCGAAACACTTAGAAATTCACACTTTATTTCAGAAGGGGTGAAGGAGTTAATCGATCGATTTGATTATGGCAATAATGCAGCAGATGTTTATTTCCCATAAGAAAATATTGTGTGAGGGGACTTGGACAGCAATGGACTGCGCAGGTGCAGTTCGTTCCTTTCCACAGTACAATATGTTATTAATGTTCCACATTCTAGTCCGTGCTGTCTTGTGTTACGTTTCCTTTCTCAAAGAAGTACCAGTTGCTCAGCTTGAAATGTCAATGTAATTACAAAGATATATATCGCTGGTAAATATTATTCAAGTTCTTTTTTAAAATAAACTTGGTGTTGTTTGTATTTCCTAAATTTTATTTTTCAAATTCTTACATTTTTATTTGTTTGTTAACTAAACTTATATCTGCACGATAGTCAACTCATTACTTACTACCAGAGTAGTTGTAATATCGTTGCAGTACTCGACCTTAGTACATAAACGTAGGTCCCGCGTTGACTATTTTAATAGGTTCTTTTTAAAACTTAATGTAATATGGAATGTTGGAATTACGAAATGTCGAGAAATATTAAAAAATATATTTATTAATGCAGTTTTTTTAAAAAAAGTTTAAAATTATAAAAATTTTGCTGCGCATTTTCATTAATCTCAATAAAACCTTTGTAATTCTAATCATAATAGATAACAGATGCGCATCACTATGTTATTAATACTTGGAGTGGCTATAAGATTTGTGGGAAAATGAATGGTTAATTGGTTATAATTAGTAATATATGTAGTGGTTTATAACGGTATTATTCCAAATTAAAAATGTGAAATAATGTAACACAAAAATGAAACATTTTAAATATAATATAGAATACACTTATCTGGACTGGATAATAAAGCTTGTCAGAATAGCACAAAAGCACAAAATTATCTGAAGTTCGTTGGTCTGTTTTGCATCAATTCCGCGAAGAATAAAGAACGGTGAAATACGACACTATGGTACTGCACAACTACAATAAGACACAACTTTTCCATCTTCCTCTATTTAAAATATGTACATGTAACACATATTTTAAAAAATATTTCTCTTACCGTAGCATGCAGCACCTTCTAAGGACGCCACATACAATCCAGCAATATTCATAGTAAAACCTTTGGTACCCTCTTTGCAAAAGAAACAGTATCATTTTTTGTATTTGTAACGGAGCAACGTACCACTGGGTATTGTATCTATATCATGACAAAATAATTATTGATTGAGAAATATTAAAAAGGATCTGTTAATGCTTAATATATGTTTTTTAAATTACATTTACTGTATATTTGTACACTGTAGTGTTATCTGTAAAACGAACATGCGAATGTGATTATATTACATACAAATATCGCTTACATAGTTTCAAATACATTATTATTGTGATCCATAATTTCT